TTTTTAACAAGCGTTGAAGTCTTTTTTTTTTTTTTGTTGTATCCATTATATCGTTACAAAAATCATGTTCCCAAAAGCCATGCGTCCGTGTGTCCGGTTCACCCAGGGTATCTGTTGAAAAGTACAGTTGAACAATCGTGAGAACTCCGCCAAATGGAAAGACCAAAACGGAATAACGCGCAGACAATGCCCCTCAAAAATATCAGATGATGGTGCTTATTCCTCAGACGGCCGCTCTACCTTGTCCGGCGCACCGTCGTCTTTGGACCACACTTCGAGGCCGTACCCGCCAATGCCCTGCACCAAGTACGACAGGCCCTCCGGCCCGCGCTTGTTCTGGCTCCGCGGTCCGCGGTCGCGCAGGTCTTCGCGCAGCCACGCCAGCACCAAGTCGCCCAGCCGCGAGTTGCCGGACGCGCCCAGCATGCTGAGCGCGGGACTGTTCTTGCCCGTGTGCCGGCCGTCCACCTCGTTGTTGTTGCTGGCTGCAGCCGCCGCGTCCCGCTGCTGCTGCTTGAGCAGTCGCTGCTGGACGTACGTCGGGTCGTCCAGGAACCGCGACGCGGGGCCCCATTCGCGCACCGTGCCCATGTGCATGTGCACCAGGTGCGTCGGCCAGCCGGCCAGGTGGTCCAGGATGTGCGTCGCGTACACAATCGTCGGCGGCGGCAGACCCGCCGCGCGGTCCGGGTGCCGCTCGCACTCCTGACGCAGCCACCCGAGAAACTGGGCGCGCGTCCAGACGTCCAGGTCCACCGTGATCTCGTCCAGCAGCAGCACCCGCCAGGGGCGCACGAGGCCCATGGCCAGCTGCACGCGGCGGCGCTCGCCGTCGCTGACCGCGTGCATGCGCCACGACGTGTCAATGTCCAGGACACTCACGAGCTCGTCGCGGCGCGCCGGGTAGGCATCGCCGCCGACGGACGCGAGCAGCTCGTCGACGCCAATGTCGCGGCGCACGACAGGGTTGAGCACCCACTCCAGGCCAAGGTACGTGACGCCCTCGAGACCCCGCGAGAACGGGTCCACGCCCTGAATGCGGATGCTCTCCTTGGGCGCAAGGCGCTTGCCGGCGAGCAGCCGCAGCAGTGTCGTCTTGCCGGCCCCGTTGGCACCGATCAGGAGCGTGCGGCTGCCGGCGGGCAGGTCGAGCGTAATGTCCGAAATACCCGTGCTGAAGTCCGGGAACGAGTACGTCAGGCCCTTTGTCTGGATAACGGGCGAATCAGTCGTCGAGGCACCGGCGCCATTCGCTGGCGGCGTATTGGCCATGATGTGTGTGGTTCGTGGCTGGTTTTTGTCTTTTGTCTTCGGTGTACGGAGGAAAAGTAAAAGTGCAGGGTAAAAAAAATGAAGTCGAGATAAATGGCGTGAAAGAGTCGGAAAAGCGATGAAACGATGAGGATGAGGATGAGAAATCGAAAAAGTACAACGTTGGTGACGGTTTGGAGTGACAAACAATGCCGAGAATTTGTGGCTCATAGTGGGGTTGGATGAGACCATTCCTGCGTTGAAGAACGTAGCGCCGCCATCCATCTCCGAATTCCGCGCGTAGTCGCCATTCTTATATACTTACGCTTCTCCACCACCCATCGGTCTTCTGAGCTTCATCCACCGGAGCTCGCGCGGGCATTCATCAGATTCTTCATCGTGTTGTACATGAGCGAAGCAACGCCGTTGAGATGTTGCTTCTCGAGATAAACAAGTAGGCCTGATCGGTATGCCTGCCAGGTGATGCGAAGGCCGCCCGAGTTTGCCAGCCGCAGCAGCGCCGCTTGCGTCACAGGGCCCGCGTGCCGGCGCTGTAGGGGAGCCGGATTGTTGCTGCCGCTGTCACCGCTTCCGCTGCCCACATTCGACGCGGCTTCCATCGCCTCGTCTTCCAGCTGCCGCAGGTAGGAAATCGCCTGCAGACAGAACGTCGGGGAGTGCAGCAGACTGAAGGCAGCCGCCAGGGGCAGATCGCGGTCCAGCAGGCTCTGCACGTAGCCGGCCAAGCGGCCCACGACCGCGCCATCCACGCAACAGCCCAGCGCGTTGGTGTCGGTCGACGAAAAGGCACGCGACCGCCACAGGCAGTTGCAAACATCCATCAGATAGCCGTTGAACAGATTGACGCGTGCGCGCTCGTGGTCGCTCAGCGGCAGGGACAGGGGCTTGGGGGGTTGGCCGTCGTTGTTGCTGTTGTTCAAAGCGAGGGCCGCGGCGGCCGCACTGCGGCCCGGCCGGCGCGACATGGCCGCTTCCAGGCCGCGCTTGTAGTTCGCCAGCAATCCATAGAGACGCGATACGACAGCCGCCGACTGGTGGAAGTGGAGTGTGTACACGGCAGCGGGGGGTGGGATCAGCTCCTGGACGGAGGCAAGTACATCGTCGCGGCGGTGGGCAAGCACGGCCGTCACCTCTTCGTAAAAGTCGAGCACACCAAGCAGGGCAATGGTCGAGACGCCGCCGTTGTTCGGGGCGGAAGGCGAAGCACCGACCGAGTTCTGGATCAGGGCGAGCACGAGGCCGCTGACGTGCTCAACGAGGGCCGCGACCGATCCAGCGACCTTGTTGCTGACGTCGTCGTCAGTACCCGCCATCAAGGTAATTCGCCACTGTCGCAAGACAAGGGTATAGAACGCCAGCAGGTCAAGTTGCGAAGAAACGTCATTGTTGAGGAGCCGTGCTTCCAGCAGCTCGTAGGTTGCCTTGTATGTTTCTGTAGGATGTTAGGAAGGCGTAACCCAAAAAAAAAGGGAATTCAGCGACAATATTTACCTGGGAACCTCGTCACCGGAACAAAGGCCAGGGACTCGAGAATGTAGCTCTTCTTGTCACGGCCGTTCCAGTGAGCAAGGATCTCGCGAAAGAAACGGTGGAAGACGGGCGGGAACGTCTTGGTGCTCGTAATGTAGTCGTGCACCACCTCCAACAAATCCATTAGCTCGTCTCTGCTGCTGTCGCCGCTCGCCGTGCTCGCCACACATGCCTCCAGCCAGTTGTCGACACGCTTAAATGCCTCGTCCGCAGGCCGCAGCTGCAGCAGCTTCTGAAGGAGCGGATCAGCGAGCACAGCAACCAGCTGGGCCGGTAGCTCAATGGTCTCAAAGTGCGCCGCTAAACCTGCTGCACTGTCAATCTCCTCGAGGGTGACGGACTCTTCTTGCGCGTGTATGGTGGTCACCACGGGAGGACCAGAGGCTTTTCCGGCGGAACGGCCACGTCCGGCGTGATCGTGCCGCACGCGGAATCCATTGTAAGGCGCATCATCGAGAAGGTCGACCCCATTGGCGCCGCTGTTTCTGCCATTGGCATCATCTTGGCGGCTCTGCTGCCGCGTGAGGCGAATGTCGTCGAGGTGTGCCCGCCATTGTGGGTCGGGGTGCTATTAGCAATGTTAGAATCGATGTTTGGGAACGTCCACAGGCCATTTGTGTGCCCTCGTGCCCTCGTACCTTGAACGGCGACGCCCTGCCACGCGTGGCCGCGCCCACAATCACTTCCGGGTAGTAGTTTTTGAAGACGCGCAGCAGGCCGACCACGTGCGGGTCATGGCCAATCTGCCGCGAGAGGCCGAGACTGTAGCGGTTAGTGTATGTGTTTTGTTTTATTTTATTTTATTTTATATATTTTTTCCCAATCGTCATCATTCAGCTCGGCTGCCTCCGCTCAAACAACACTCACGCGGCTTGGATGCGGAACGGCCGCACATGCTTCCGCCGCGTAATGAGCACCAACACGTGGCACAGCTGCGGCCGGATGCCCGCCGTATCCAGCAGGTTGAACAGCACCGCGTACGCCCGCGAGAGCACCGCAAGCGCCGGCGGTGCCAGCACATGGTACACGAGCACGAGCCACCGCAGCAGCAGAGCCTGGACGGGCAAGGGCGGTTTCAGCTGGCCCTGGCCCAGGCAGCCGACAATGGCCAAGACGACATCATCGGCCACGGCGGCGGACGGGTACAGATTGCGAATCAGGCTGCCAAGGCTGGCCTGGTCGAGAAGCACGCCGGGTGCCGCAAGGACGTCGACAACGAGCAAACGCAGGACATCGGGCCGCAGGCCATGCTCGTAGGCAAGGGCGGTCAAGCGTTCGACGGTGGGTTTGACGGAGAAGGGCCGGCGTTTGGCTGGGACGCGAGCGGCTGGGCGTGTCAGTAAGGGGATGGGGGGATGGACCGAGGCGAATGATTGATTGTCCACCAGATGGAAGCAAAGGCGCACCTTGGACGAGGTCGCCCACCAAAGCCGCGATTTCCTCGTCGGGCTCGGGGTCCATGACAAAGGGAGAAGACGGCAACCACGAGAGTCGGTTGGGAGCGTTGCAAAACTTGTCAATTCGGAGGTGCAGGCCAGCGACAGGGCTGGTGGTGCCGCAGTGTCGGCGAGGCTGTCTTTGTGGTGACGTTGTCGTCGGTATCTTCTGTTGACGACGACGCGTTGACCGTTTTGGCAGACGCGTTCCTTCCCGCTGCGCTTAACATAGGCAGTGGAAAGCGTGCTAAAAATTTAGCGGGGTAGCAACAATTAGTGCACCCACAGCCACGCACCCGGCGAGGCTGCGACCACGTAGCGTACCTTTGCCACCGGGGCCCGCCTAACGGCCCCTGGAACCCATAAACAGTCAGCCTCGTCCACATTGTGTGACCCCAAACGATCGTCAGTTATTGGAAACAGAATCGCATTTGTGTTTTGTTTTCTAATTCTCTCCTATTTTCCCACTGTCGCCAGGTCTCGTCTGTGTACGTGCAGGGCCCGGACAAGACGTACGAATTTTCGGTGGTCAGACGTTGCACCCATCGGATTCACGTACGCCAAGCCGTCGGTCATGCAAGTCATCTACAGGGCTGCCCGCAGGTACTCGTCGCCTCGGCGTGCTGTGGCTGTTCCGGTGCTGCCTCTGATTCTTGTTGCTTCATTTGCATATTCCTGTTTAATCTATCGCCCGGCCCCCACGTATTGTCGTCACATCGAGGTAGAAGCCGGACGGTGAAGTGCCACGCTTGGATGCACCGGCTACGGGACTAGGCTGAACACAACAAGCTCGAGTTGGGCCAGATGGAGTGAGCTTCGGACACGGAAGACTGGTCGTTGGATTTTAGTGATGCCTTGGTTCGGCAATGCCAAGGCGATTGTCGACACGGCCTTGCGACACTGGGGGCGAGTAATGGCCAGATGCAGGCGGCAGCAATGGCCCAGAGATGAGGTGTTTGCCTGAGATCTGTTCTTGTCGTTCCCGTATTTTTGTGCCTCCATAAGTCGCAACCATTGCTTAGTGCCCATTTTGATACGTCGGCCTTTGTAGCTGGTCCACAGCCCCTGCCATGCGTAGGACGAGGCAAGGCCATCTGCTGGCCCCGCCCGTCCATATTGTTCTGAAGCTCTCTGTCCGTCTCCGGAGCGTGACGGACCGCCTGCAGCCCCTCTACAGTGTCTGTGCAGTTTCCGTGCTTTCCGTGTAACCATCCTCGTTTGTTTTTGTCTTACACGGTTGCCGTTGTGTCACACAGTCCCTTCACAGTGTGGCGAGGAACGGTGGCAGGACCGTCGACAGCGCGTCGTTTCGTGTGCCGTTGTCCCGTGTTCCAACGCGAGCACTAGCCGATGCAAGTCAGGATCGTGTCGCTGGTGGCAAAAACGACAGAAATGACTCGTCATTGTGTCAAAAGATACTCGACGCATGTGGACAAAACGGGCTATCTATCAATCATGTATCGCCTTCGCCTTGCTCATGGTTCTCGATATGAGGCTCGGCTAGCTGTTCAGTAAACGCCAGTGGGTGCGTTTCAAAAGCCACACTCTAGGCAATACATATCTAGGAGGTTGAAAGGTAGTAACAGGTGACCGGATACATGCAATCCTAGGTGGCAGCGATTCAGACCGCCAATTGTGACGATGAGAGCTGGCGCCCTGGCTAGGCCAAAAGGATCGATGGCGGCCTGGCGGATGCCTGTGATACCTCTTCCTGGTGGTCAGTCCGGGTTTGCTGCTGAAATATTGTATATATACCTTCGGCATCGCCCCTGCCTCCCCGTACCCGCTCCTGGCCTTTGCATCTCGTCGTTGCGGGCTATCAAGTGCGTCACACAACATGCTACGGTTAAGCTCACCAAAAGGGACCGACAAAGCCTGGGAAGCTGGCAGGTAACAGATGCTTTTCGTTTTGTCAATTTATCGTCGCCTTGATGTTTTATTGTATTTTCCCCCTATGTGTTCTCGGCAGGAAATTCCCACTCATTCACGGAAGGTGCGCAGAGGCCATGATTCCTACTACGAGTGGGACACTACAATGACGACTTAGTCACCAACAACTAGTTAAGAGAGAAAAGCGAACGACGGAAAGAGCGCTTCGTAGCGCGTCTTCTTCCTGCATCTTGTGTTGGCGAGGAAAGAACGAGCAACGGCTTAGCACAATATGTGCGGGAGGAACGAGGGTGTTGCACAAGAAGGTCCTGCCGCATTCAAAGTCTGTGTCACCCAAGCGCCCTTGCCGATTTTTCCTCATGCAACATCCACAAAAAGCCCCAAATCACAGAGCGTCATTCGAGAACAAAATCCCCATTTCTCCTCCTCCTCCTCTGGCCGGGTTGAATCCATACCCTCAGCTGTCGGCCTCGCAATGCCCACCCCACTCTTTGGATGCCCTCCCTCCTCTTTCCAAGATCCAACAGAATGTCCCAGAAAAGAATCGTTCGCCGACCTGGTGCCGCGTTCTCAATCGTGTCCTTTGGGGACAATTTGAGCGGCCATAGCCAATCTGCCCGGATGGAGACACAACCATCGGTTGGCAAGAGACGAACCGGCAGGCAAAGCGGTGTCATATTAGCGACCGAAAGCGCGGTCCGAATGACCTCACTTCGTCCACGCCCCTGCGCTCTTGATCTCTGTCTCTACCGGAACAAGAACGGACCCCCGTCCATCGGTGTGCTAACGCAAAGTACAACCTGCATCTCCGGGTCATGCTGGCCCCCATCACCTCTAGTTTGCCAACGAGCTGTGATGAGTGGCATTACATTAGGTCCTGTCCGGTGCTGGGGTCTACGATACAGGAGACACAAATGAAAAAACAATCGTCAAACACGACCAGCCAATGGCAAGAAGCACGCACTCCTGTGCACATCCAACAACCAACGGCCAGCAGCAGCTGCAGCGCGAGGTATGTACTCTCGTTCAGCCCCCATCACAGCGGAGTGAGCACAGTCCAATCTCCAAGGGGTGCGTGAAAGTTTTGTACTACTAAAGTCTGTGCATGTGTGCCATCACACAGTGGTGTTTGTCACTCTAGACAGTGTGTTACCCCGGAGCAAAGCAATCCAGGTTGCTGTGTTCGTCTTACGTATGTTGGTTCCATCTCTCTTCGCATTCAACCTTTCTTGCATATATTGCTAACATATTGCTAACACATTGCTAACATCGAGTGGCCTCTAGATCGAATCTCCTCTCTTTGCACCGGGACGCTAATTGCCTCAATCGTTTTGAGAAAATTGAAGAAAAATAAATAAAACGGCAACTGTTCGATACGAGGCTACATTTTCAGGTGGCACACCCACACCCCCCCTCAGCGACCCACAAACGTCGACCGCTTCAGCCGAGAAACGGGATGCCTTGCCCGTGTTACACCATCCAAGCGGCCAGACGCCATTACCTTGCAGTCCCCCAGTCGTGGTATGACTGTGGGGGTGCCAAATACAATTCTTTCCTGCCCACAGTTGGCCACGCAGAATCACTGGGCCATACCTCCCGTGCAGGCTGCTGCGCAACTTTTTTTATTTTCTAAAAAATTACTTTTATGGGTGTGGTGGTTGTCTTGGACTTGCTTTAGCGTGCAGGGATAGGTCAGCAAGTGAGCACCGCGCGCAAAACAAGGTACTCGTATGCCATGAGAGGCACATATCACATATGCTCGAGGTCAAAAGATTTCGACGATGAAAAGTCACAATGTTCAACGCCTAGGTACACAAACCAGAAACCAACCCAGGGCTGAATGGGGACCACGCCATTTGGAGCAGACATGCGTGAGGAAACCGGCAAAACACATCAAACACATGCCCCTGGTGTCTGTGTAACACCTCCTTTTATTTCTTTCCCCATTCTCATGTCGGTCACTGCATTGTGCCGTAACTAGCCTTCGAGGGAATAAGACGTGGCTGGAGGCCAAAGGCCAAAGGAAAAAAAAAGCCCTTCCCACTAACATAAAACAAAGTCCAAGCAGGTGCGGACCAAGTCAAGCAGTATCAACAATCAACAACCGGGCTGATTCATACCGCCGTCCTCGGTCACCGTTTCGAACATCTAAAAAAACATTGACGTGCTGGCCAGCCCAGTTCCAACCTCGAGTTTTACTATTCGGCGCTGTGGGCACACCGAACAAGATACGTCGTATTTGGAGTCCGACAGTGACCTTCCAGGCGTCGTCTATGAAGTGTCCAGTCGTGGCCAAGTTTTATTCATGACGATGTTTTGAAGGAGACACCCTAAAAAGAAGAGACGTTAGCGTATCATCGGGATGCGAAGCAGGAGGGTTACTCTGGGAGTGGGTAGGAGGAAGCAAAAGCCACCACCCGACACAACACACGCGCACTTCTCCGGTACAGAGGCCAAGCGACCGCCCCACAGACCAACAGACACCCGTCACCAATTCAAGGCCTTTCCGCTGTGACGATTTACGGGCGTTAAGTCGTTTGGGTCCTGTTGTTGTCCACCTGTCCCTTGTGGTGGAACGAGGCATGGCTTGGACGAGGAGGAGTGGGCAAGTCGTTTTCGATCTGCTATGCAATACTGGGTGAGAATCGTCCAACGTCGCTGGCCAAAGATCCCGACTGTCTCCTTTGCAAGACAGCAACTCAAATACACGGCCTACGGGAGACAGGGATACATCATATGTCCTCAAGGGGCATTCGTGTGTGACCTGACAAGCCCTGCGGTTGTCTCGCCGCTGTTCCATTGCACATATCCACATCTTGTCACCTTGCCCCTTTCAGCAGTCGCCTTGTCTCCATGATGGCAATGGCGGCTAGCTGTCTAGCCAATGGTCACGCCGTATTGCCCAGTGGCATTGACCCGCATGCAGGAGGCACGACACACACGGCGTAATAGAGTGCACATCATTCGCTTTGTTGAGAGGCTGCGCTGTGCTGGGCATACAAGAGAAGTAGGGCACAAGGGTGGTAAAAGTGGACGAGAAGTATGTGAGGTGACGGGTCATGAGATGGGGGAAAGCATATATTAAATGAAAGCGACAAGAGGGGGGGGGGGACGCAATAACACGAAATGTTGGGGAGGACAGAAGCAACGCTGGGCAGTCCACAGGATCAGCGAGACGGAATAGTCGCTCAAGTTCAAGTTACAGCCCGCATGCACAAGGAAGCATGCAGCAAAGGTAGTATCCAACCCCCTGCACCTCGTCCGCGTGTGAAAACACCCGAAAGTCCTGCCAAAGAGAGAAATTTGGAGAGAGAAAAGAAAAAAGGAAGGAACCAAGAGACAAGCGTCGGAGAGAGCGACCGCTTGGTCTCCCTAAGGCAGACAATTTCCGCATTTTATACGAGTTGCTCCTTCCACAGCCGCTGCGCTCCCGCCCGTCGCGACTTCTGCGCCTGTTCCTCACTTGCTCACCCCTGCCTCGTATGTTGGGCAAGAGCCGTGCCCGAGCGTTCCTTCCTCAAAGGTACGACATACTCTGCATATCACTTGCGACAAAAAATGTAGTCTCGTGATCCGTGAAACCCGGCGACAGCGGCATCACATATGGCACTGTTGTTTTGTCTGCTGCGGTCTCCGGCAACTCTGTCTTCTCGACGAGGTATAACAGTGCGACTCTGCCAACCGCAACATTTGGTTTTGTGCAACCAGTCCTGCTCCCGTAAATACTATTGCTACAACAGTATGCTCTCAAGAAGAAGTATTGTAAACCGGAAGGCACAAATGTGCGGCCAGACGGGCAGGAGAGACAGAGCACATAAATCGCAGCATTGCACCTTACAAAATAACAAGAAACTCCATTTGACACCACGCCATCACATTAAACTGGAAGGCACAACGATGCATCGTCGCCGGGTTTGCAGCAGCCAACCGCCGTTGAGGGAAAGACCTATGCGCCGATCGGTTGTTCCTTCCTCAATTGTCCAGTGTAGTCTGTTATGGTTACCTCGAGCCACTTTGTGTTCCGCGAAACCAGCTGCTGTTTCTGTATGTCAACCGTTTTGCTCGTTCTCGTATACCCCGTTGGGGAAAAAAAACATCACGATCCTCGGCCATTTGGTGTGAACACCAGCAACACCCCCAACAACACACCAAGGGGCATGTCAACAATACGAATCCAGTTTCAACGCGTCTCGCAAACGACAGCCCTGCCCTACTACCTATGTTTTCTTTTGTCCTTGACGTGACCGGCCGCTCGGTCGCAGGGTCGCAGGCCAAGAGTTTGTCGTTCGCCCCTTTTTCGTCCACATTGTTTCGGCCTCGCCCGTGGCCGCTTCACGAGGCCCGATCGTGTTTGTTTGTTGTTCTTCCATCTCGATATCACCCGTCCCCCCACGCTTCCTGCACCGCCTCGCCTCATGCATTGGGTGCATACGACGTGCACTACACCTCATTCTACACAGGCGGTGTACTGCCTGTTTCTTGCAGCTCCTGTCGCCGCACCTCTGGCTGGCACGCTCGACTTTCTCTTTTCCTCCTCCCCGTGCTCGCCCTTCCAAGCTCCTGCAAAACAAAACACCTTTCATTGCCCCGCCCCCCGATTTGCGTCTGACAACTGGCTGTCCTTGACCGCACATTCAGCGAATCCCCCGTTACTGTTGGAACTTGTCGCCTGTCGTCCTGCAGCTGATCGCCTTTTGTTTTTTTTTATGAGCACGGGTGCTCTGTACGCCATATCCATCCTCTTCGGAGCAGTTGTCATCACACTGAACAGCGGCACCGCCAACAACAGTCTTGACAATCTACGAGAAAGCGCTCGAAGCCGATATTGCACAAACTCGTGCCCAGACGGCAAGCCAGAGGAAGTGCATATTTTGATCTTTGCAAACAACCATTGGCCGCCAAGCGAGGAAGCCCTCGTAGCGTAACCCGCGCAATACCCACAGCCAAACATCGTTGCCGGCCAAAGCCACACAATAAGGGCCAACAAAACCGACCGCGGCCCTTGGGGCAGAGGTCAGACACCACTGGGAAGGCCAACAGGCGAGACTGAATAAATACAGCCACTGCACAGTGTACGCGTTCTCCGAGCTGAGGACCCTCCGGCCAGCCAAACACAAACCTCCAAATATCGTTGTACATGTCCTGCTGCCCATACAATCAATGGCCAGCATATAAGAAACTCATTGGTCCTCCATCCTTTGACCTGCTGTCTAGCCCTTTCCCCCCATCTTCAACTTTTTCCCCCTTTTACATCCCCGTCACTTTCTTTCTTTTTTTTCTTCTGTGTCTTCGCGTCACCCTAACACCCTGCCTCTCGAGATCGGCAACACGCATGCAAGTACCGCCTAGCGAGCAACGGACCGGTTGAGTGACATCGCGCTATAACAAAAACAACATCCGCCAGAAACACCTTAAAAAACGTGGGGCCTGGCCCAGTCCCAGACAAAAGGATCAGTGCGAGAACGGTTTGGCCCTTTCGCTCACACGCAGCCCTGTCCGGTTTAGACACAAACTTGCTGGAGATTAGCAGCACGGGCAACGACAATGCGAAACTGAGCCACATTGACACCCCAGAAAAGCTGACTCAGAGGTGTCCGTCTACGTGCGGCTTCAGAGCCCTATTATCTGACTTCGAAACAGACGGAAGCTCAGACGGACTCGGCTGAATTTGGACACAATACGCCCACATATCTCCTTCAGAGTATTACGCCTAAAACTCCAGAAAGACAGAGAAAACGGCCTGCCCTACCCCGTATTGCTCTCTTTTACAATCGTTCTTTGGATTTTGCCCAGTTCCATTCCTGTCGGCTGCATATTCTACTTGTCTATTTACGGAGCTTGAGCCCTGCAACCAACATATCTTACCGCCTCTCCAACGAGCCGCGCCGCTTTTTACAGAAGCGAACTTTTAGTTCCTGAACAGGACCTGGGACCTGGCCAGGCCCAGCCTTCTTTGGCCTCTTAGCTCGGATATCCTGCCCCAGAGTGCCATCTCGCTTTAACGTCAAACCGCCGCCCGCTTTGTGTCCTCTTTGTCGGGATTGCACTGTGAACGCCCTCGCTCGACCGCTCAGTCTCACGGGCTCGCCCTCCGCCTGTTGCCACAACTCTACAGTGACGCTCAACCACCACGCCATCAGGCACTGTTGATGCGACAAACTCTACCCGTGAGTCAAGACCGCCTAATTTGCACACTACATACACCAGTGCGCCCTTTATCTGCCCATCGTTTTTTCCCTTGTTGAGATTTATCCTCTTTCCCTCATCTCTTTGACCTATTTCTGGTTGTTTATTTTCCTCTTCTTTTTTCCTGCTTTCACAATCAAAAGATTTTGTTCTCACACACACACACACACACACACACACACACACACTGTCTCTCTCGTTCTCTTTTCTTGCCCCTCTCCCTCATAGCTCCCTTGTCCCTCATTCTCCTACGAATTTCTTTCTCTTTTTGTCTCATTTTTTATTCATCGTCACTCCGCTTTGTTGTAGAATTGGACTCAAGGCTGGGGCTCCTTGTTCCCGCGCGTCCTCGCCCTCCTCCCTGCCGGTGTGGCGGAGATCGAGGAAGCTATTGGAGCTGGAACTTGAGCAGCAAAGTCGCACAGCAAATAAGAAGGCGAACAAGAAGAATCCATATTTATGCGCTGGCCAGGTCACTGGACCTCTTGGAAGAGCTGAATTGTGTGTGCCACTTTTCTCTACAAGCAGCGCTTCACACGTTCCTTCCCTTGTCCCGTCGACCCCCAAGCTCAAGGTGGCTGTCCGTTCTATCTCATTTGGTCTGGGTTATACGCGCGTGGAGGGTGGCGTGCACGCGCGCGGCAGCATTGCGCTCTGAATTTCTGGATTTTTTTTTTTAAAAAAAAAACTGAGCTGCTGCAAGATGGAGTCTCCAGAGTTACGGGACATTTCAAGACGAAGAGGGGCTGTTCTCGTCCAGGACTTGCAAGAGTGCCTCCCGCTTACCACGAACCTAGGCGAAGGCGATCTTCTCTACTTGTTGACCCCAGCTGCCGTTCCGATCGAGCTCCCGGCACCAGGCGCACCGGCCGAAGACCCGTTTGAACCGCTTGGTAAGGCATTGGCGGAATACCACCCTTGGGTCCGTCACATCCCCTACGTTGCGCGCGACGGCATCACGCAGTATCACGCAAATCATCTCACCTTGGCCAAGGCCGTTATTTTTGTCATCACCGGCCCACCACACGGCGGCCAGCCCTCACAAGTTGCCCTGTCGCAGATTGTTCGCTCGATTGCTCCCGACCGGCCGCACATCGTGCTCGTGTGCTGCAGTCTGAACATACTCGGGCCCTCTGACGGCTTTTTTCCGACGCTCATTGAAGCTCAAGACTACTCCATCGGCCGTCTAGAGTGTGCCGCCGATATCATCTTCTTGCCCCGCGGAACACGGAGACCAGGACCAATGCTCCTCATGGAATCGCCGCAGCCCCGGTGGCTGGTGGAGGAATGGGACATATTAAAGGATGCGCCGGCGACCCATGACTTGTGGTGCAAATGCGTCCCTCAACGCTTTCGAATCGACATCGCCGGTCTCCAGCGCTTGTTGAACCGGCCGGGCTACGCGAAGCACTTTGTCGTCCGCGACCCGCAGACACGCGAGGTGCTCGGCTTTTGTGCCACATATACGGCCTTTATCGATCAGAACGACTCGACGTGGGTTGGCTGCATCGCCGCCCTTTTGGTCCAGCCCTCACACCGCGGCCGGGGCGTCGGCACCGCCCTCCATTACCACGCACTGCGCAAACTCGCCGAACATAGAGTGACTCGGCTACAACTCGGCAGCACCTTCCCACGCCTCCTTTTCGGCCTCCCCTTTGAGATGGAGTCCGAAGACTGGTTCCGGCGCCGCGGCTGGCGCATCGACGATTCGGATCTGCCTGGGAGTGGCCAGGAAGCCTGTGACTGGGTGCTTGACTTTTCCGACTGGCGGGCCGCCGGCTTGTCGGACGGCGGTTTCACGTTCCGGCGATGCCAGATCAACGAATTTGACCGTGTGCTGGAGTTTGTGGCACGCGAGTCTGCCCGAAAAGACAACGTCGGCTGGTACGACCAATACTACCAGCTGGCCGGCACCACCGACATCCACGACATTCTCCTTGTTCTCGAAGGCCCCCAAATTGTGGCAACCGCGCTCAGTTACGTTCCCAGAAACGGCAGCCGCGTGGCAGAAGACCTGCCGTGGGCACGTACTGTTTCCGATCTCGTCGGTGGCGTGGCCTGTATATGTATCACTGGTGCGTGTGCTTGCTTTTCTCCCTCTTGTGCCTGGCCTTCGACGGCCCATACTAATGCTCGCCAGACGACTTCCTCTCCGCGGCCCATACCAGGGATTCGGTGATTATCCGTCTCATGAACTACTGTGTGCAGGTTCTCGAATCGCAGGGCATGGAGAAGATGTTCCTTGACGCTGTTCGTGGCGGCGCCGAAGGGTTTCAAGCTATTGGTAGGCCACCTCGAAACACGGTGCCGAGGCGTTCCCTGCACAGATAGACGGACAGCATGCTAACAGTACACCCAGGCTTCCAGAAATGGGCCAGCTACAGGCACGTGTGGCGTGAAGCGTGAGGTCAAAAGGGAAGCGCCAGGACGCCAGGTTCTCTTCTTATTTTCTTAGGAGCGCCACTCTTTTTTTTTTTCCCGCAGGGAGACCAACCCGGAGTGTGCGTGGGCAATGATTAATTACCACCTACATCAGAGCAGTCGAGATTAAAGGGGTGGATATAATGACGCACTTGCCCCCATGACCGAGGTCGAACGTTCAGAGGCATAAAGACAACAATGGAATAGTTTCTTGCTACGACGTACTCAGCACGTCTTCCCTCCTGAATTGCAGTCCAACGGTTGTTAACGGTTCAGCGGCTCAACGGTCGGCTCCACCGGCCATTTCTGTGCGACAGATCATTCGTCTGCACTTTGCCATCCCACCGTTGTCACCCTATGAGCCTGTGTCCCCCTTTGTCCCCCTCGGTCCCTTTTTGCTGGTGCAGCATTTGCCATCACACTGTTTTCTTCCAAGCGCCCGTTCCTCTGCAGTTATCACACAAGCGGAATAGGCGATATACCCACCCGAGTGGGTGTATTGCTCCGTACGACGTATGTTGCAGGAATGCAGGAGATTTCGGTTTACCAGACGGACCCGAGATGAGCTCGAGACTGGCCCCCATCGCGTCTATTTTCAAACCGCCACTGCAGGTGCAAATCGTGGCATTGGATTACAGTCTGCAGAATGTGGGATAAGGTCATGCTCTCTACGGCGTATCTTGCAGCAGTGTCCCCGTTCTGCATCCTCCAACTGCATGCAGGGCGCCTTGTGGAGTCGTCCTTCGTTTTGCCCCTCGTAAGGAGGAATCACTGCTGCCTTGTGAGCCTGGAGGAGTACGTCGGAGAGAGAACGTGGTGTACGCAGACCAAGGGCCATCTGCTGCGTCTGTACGGCTGGTCGATGCGTGGAAGGCTGCCCGTCTTGATGCTGATTCAGACCTTCTCTTTCCACCCCCGTATGCCCCATTTTCTCACTTCCCACCCTCACCCCCTTCCCCTTCTAGCCTATTTGCTTCTTGACCCTTACATTGGCTCCCACTTTTACCGCCCGGTGCATGGCGTTGGCCTGGCCCCCCTTTCACTTAATTTACTTGATTCTAGAAGAGACAGGACCAGCCGTTGAGCAGCACTATGTTTCAAACTAAGCTGGACACGGGGAATGGCGATAGTTGGGAGGGGCGCTCGAAGGGGCAGCACGAGGTGACGCTGAGGCGACAGTCTGGTTAACTGAGCAGCCAATGTCCCCTGAAAACCGTTTAGTCCTTTTTCTTTCTCGTTTGCTTCAGTGGCAACTGTGGTTCCCAAAAAGACTGCATGCAAGAGCGGGGGGGTCTGTCCGAAAGACGAGACTCGCAGAGGCCTGCCCACCTGTGCATGCCGAGCTACAACGTCTTGGCATGGTCGTTGACCTTGTCAGCTTTATTTTTTATTTTTCTTTTTATTTTTTGTTGCCAAGTTGATACTACATCGTAGAACTCGAAAGAAGGAAAGACTAAATAGAGCACCCGAAACCGGTGAGGTCCCGGGAGGTCAGCGGTATTTTGCATTCTTTCTTTCCTTGTGCCATTTGCCGCTGAATACTTTCGGCTCACGATAAGCAAAATGCTCTCATTTCTCAACTTGTGCAAGCCTTGTCTTTCGTTCTTTGTGTGAAAATCCTTGTGAACTGGCGCGGCCGCGATCATCTTTCCACGGTGCCTTTTATTTTCCGGGTGGGGTGTGTCTTCTATTCGTCTTCTACTCGTTCTATTTTGTTCCTGGCATCTAATGCGACTTACGCGACGACAACGGCAAGCTATGGAGCCATGGCCGTCGAAGTTCTGGTCTGTCTCTTGCGCCCTTTCCAACCCGCTAACGCCTCTCTGTGGCAGACCAAATAAAACAGCATTATTTGAGAGCAACAAACAAAGCGGGAGTCGGGCAAAAACAAAACGCCCTCGTGTCCATGATCTGGCCGGGCTGCGACATGTAGCCGCCGCCCCCCATAGTGAAGGTGGCCTGCGAATTCTGTTTTTTTATTGGTGGCAACAGAGTCGTTGCTTGTTGTGGTCAAAGTCCTGCCCGGGTCGCGTCTGAGCTGACCTTGTGGAGATTGTAACTCTGCAGCTTGTTTCTGGGTCATGACATGATGCGGCCTTTTTCTGGGCGCGCGATTTGTTTTGCCTCCCTTCCTGTTTGTTCTTTCCCCCTTTCCAGTCCACGATGGACACGATATATATCGTGCAGCACGATATAGTGCGGCAGGATTCGAAATCACGATGCATGAAAAATGAAAAATGGAACGCGGCAAAACAAACAGTGGCCTGCGGGCCGGGACCCGTCGGGGGCCAAAAATCCATTCGTTTTTTTGTGGCTTGTGCACGTAGGACGTGCCTTGCTCCAAGCGTATTGGTGAAGCCAATCGCATTTCAAATCGCGAAAACAGGACTATACGTTTGTTGGGGGCCGTTTCTTTGTTGACACATTTTTTAACAGAGCATTTGTTCCGACGTTCGTCGTCCGAGTTGTGATGGTGTTTTGCTGTTTACAGACCTTCGGATGAACTCTAGCCGTGTTATTTTCATGTTAT